AAGCAAGCGAGTATTAACTTGTTAAGTGAGAAGCCAGAATAAATGTTTTTTCAAATCAATTTTGCAAATGAATATGATTACAACAATCCTCCTCTGGCACCCAACCTATGGAGCAAAATCTAATTGGCAGCCATGTCATCGTGATGTCGCTAGCAGCATCCTCTTACAACCCACCTGCCCATGTAGGTTTCAGCTGCTGTGTGTCTCAGATTAACAGTGATGCCTGTTTATTGCAAATTCTCATCGAATCAGTCTGGATGGGCTCGCCTCCCTGACTGGAATTGGGATCGGCCCTGATTGGAGACAACCACTTTCACTCCGGTCTGCAGGAAGCTGGCTCATGATTGCGCCGGGTGTCTTCTGCTATCAGAGTTTCTTTTCTCCTTGAGGGGGAGCTTTTGCACAAGGACTCGTGACCATTTCCTTGTTTAGATGAAGCCAATAGGAAGCAGAATGAAGTCTGATGCGTATGCAGCTCTGACCTTAGAGTTTCAGCAGCTGCGGAATGGGTGAGGCAGCAGATGGGAGATGATTGCAGAGGCTGCTGTGCCTGAGAGAACAAACATCGTTCTCTCTGGAGGGCCCCCCGGGGAAGAAGCCAGCATTAGGTATGGAGAGTCATAGAGGGTCCCTGATCACCTTGCCATTAGCAGGTGGCCTTACTTCATTGGTAGGGAGGTGATACTGACTGACCTTCTCACCAGGTTGACAAGACGGTCAAACAATGTCTTGCACTTCAAAGTGAGCTACCCTTATCCAGAGAGGTGGGTCCTTGCCCTGCCTTTTTGTTGCTTGTAGAACTAGGTACGGAGCATCTTCCCCAAGTCCCGTGTCATGTGGGGGCTTCAGAGGACAGGGTATCTTCTACAAGAAGCTCTTCATCTTTATTCTGCAAATGCTCAGAAGCAGCGGAGCACCTGAAGTGGCCCCCTCTGATATGGGCCTCATAAATCATCGTTGCTAAGTCCATTAACCGGGTCTTTGTTTTTTTAATAAAGGAACCCACTTTTGAATTGAACTGTTGTCAGCCCCTTATGTGGTACTTGGTGTTTTGCAGAACATGCAGGTGTTTCTGAATGAACCGAGATTATGGAAATCTTGACCTTCTTTATATTATCTTAAATACTCTGGAATGATAGCAAACCTTGGTTCCCTTTGAAAAGTAGAATTTTAAAAAAATGAACCTAGACCTGGATCTTAGTACGTGTCAATAGTTTTTTTCCCCCTCCCTCCCCATTCCCCCCCAATAGTTTCAAAGTTTGTAGTATATTTTAGAGACTGTGTTTTCATAGAAGATTGATCTTAGAGGTGGTTGTTAAATTGATCGATTCTTTATATTATAAATCTCCTAATCAATACCGTTCAGTCCCTGAGCGCTGGTGTGTTCAAAACCAACCAAACAAAAGGAAACCTTCCAAAGCCAAAGAGAGGAGCTCAACTCGGCCCCCATCCCCTTCAACCCCCCGTGATAGCAGTAGATGGTGCTGCTGTTTCAATGGCCGCAGGAGTCCCCAGCATCGTGCCCTTCACACTGGCGCGTGTCCCAGCTTCGTCTTTAGTCATTTTCCAGGTATTCACCATCTCACCATCCCTGAACCACGCAAAAGCAGTAAGCATGTTGGATACTCGAGCAGTACGAAAAGGCATTTGATGATAGAGAACAATGAGATGACAATCAAAAAGCTGGAAGTGGTGAGAGGTCGGTACAGGCTGCATGCATTCCACCGCATGAACTATTCAGTGGCAGGAATAATTCTGAGGAATGTACAAAGAATAACTTTGTACAAAGAATATGCAATGTTTAAAATGTTGTGTCTATGGCAGCTCCGTGGTTATGCACTGGCCTGCTAACTGCAGAATCAGCCGTTCGAAACCACCAGCCGCTCCGAGGAGGAAGTTGGAGCTTTGTACTCCGGTAAAGAGTGGCAGTCTCGGAGACGCATGGGGCATTTCTGCCCTGTGCTGTACAGTCACTGTGTGCTGGCATCCACTTGGTGGCTGTGAATTTGGTTTGTTTTTTGGTCTGTGCAGCTGTGGGGAGTTGGCAAGGAGATAAAACATTTGAGACAGCAGATCACACTGGTGCATATGAGTTTCACCAGCATCAGGCGCCTAATAGCCTGATGCTAGTTCAGGAAACACCCAAGAGTCCTTTCAGGAGCTTAAAGGGGCAAAGTGTGGTGAAGTGCCGCCGGCAAAACCTTGCTGCAAAGCTCTGGCCCTTTCACAAGTGTGGGTTCTTCTGGGACAAATGGATGGCCAGACTGGGAGTGCAGATAGCCCAAGCAGACCATGGTCAATAGCACTCGGGAACTATCTGCCTCTGAATTTCTCAACTCAGGAAAAACAGCTCTCTTTGCAAATTGAGGCCCCAGAGATCGTGTATTAGTGAGCAGGGGAGGAGGAACTTGGCTTTCAGACTGCGATGGACAGGCTGTCTGCTGCTCTGATGAGGCATCTAAAGGTGCCTCCTTTCATGGGAACACAATCAGGGGCTGCAAGCTGCAGCCCTTCGGGGGTCATCTTTAACTTCTTGTCCATAAAACGTTTGCCCCATTCTAACTGGATCGTAAATAGGGGAACTGCACTACTGTGCTACATTATTTTAAAGGCAGAGCAGTTACTATGAGAAAGAAAAACTTGAGGCAGCACAGGCCATGCGGCCATTGCCAAACCCACAGGATTCCCTACTTTGCCAAATAATAAGCATGAGAATTCTTTTGGCGCACAACTGCTTTTCTTAGCACTGCAGCGATGACCCGGGGGAAAGGGCATAAACCCTGGCATAAACAGTTGCGCAAGCAGACAACTGTGAAGCTCTGTTTCTTTTTAAATATATAGGCTTTGTACTCTCCATCAATCAGAGGTGGTGTGAGGAGTGCGCATAGTACATAATAAGTACCTGACTAACACGATCAGCATTCAGTGACTTGAAGCCAGTTGGTGCCATTAACATGAACAGCACGAGCAGTGCTTGTTGCCAGTTTTATTCCTTATGTAGACTAAGATTTGGTAACACACGACCCTAGAGGCAATGGCCAAAACTCGAGACAGAAGCTAATGTTTCTCTCTGATCGCAGTGGGCTGATATCCACACAGTCAATTCAGGAACTCCGGCTTTTGATGGTCTTGCTATCTTCAGTAGTAGTGTGGCTACTGGCACGAGACCAAACCAAAGGAAGTGGGGCATGGTCTGCAGGGGTGTATGAAGAAGCTCTTCTGGGCCAGACTGGAAGTAGTTAAAGAGCAGTGATCACCTGCACTATGCTGGAGATAACCGCTAAGGCAGCTGGGAAATGCGTGTACTCTGGCGGCTGTGTACAGCTACTGTGAAAGAGGAATGGAACTGAGGTCACTGGCAGACTCTGTCAGAACATCACAGGGCATTGCAGTGACCCAGCAGTACCCTCAATGCACTAAAGTGAAGACTGGCACTGACCTCCACCCACCCTTCGCTTCTTTCCAATGAGAAGTGGATGAAGGTTTATAGAGCAGATCAGTTTTCCATTCAACAAGTCATGCATGTTTTGTTTCACCTCACTGAGTTCAGCCCACACAAGGTGAGTTAGTTTACTGTGCCAAACTGGCCAATAAACACAAGTGGGGTTAATTTAAGGGCAGAGGGATAAATGGCTTGGTGAGCCTCGCCTTTTTAGTTCTCGCGTCTCTTGCTTTGTGATGATCGCACAAGGGTGCAGCTGCCTTAGCAGTTCCCTGCTTCAGCTGGCAAGGCTGACTTCCAGCAAGACATCCCCAAGGAGAAGCCAATGGACCTACCCCGATGCAGCCCTGGGTGCTGGAGCAGCCGTGTGGAGACCCCTGCTGGCGCTGAGATGCTTACACATTCACTGACTCGGCTTTCCTACTGTAGTCAGCACCATAGTGTGTGTTTTGTGAGATGGAGGAGGACTTTGTGAATTGGTGTCGGACATATGGGTTAATGTTGGACTTGTGGGCTTGAGCAGCACTGGGTTGGGATGTTTTCCTGATACGCACTTACCCTCTCTCTTATCCATGAGTTTCTATGGATTAGTTTCTCTAAAGCACCCAGACTAACACACGAGGTAACATCATGTATCCCATGTCCTCCCTGTGTTTCTTGTTTCCCTTCCTACTCCCCTCCTAACCCTTTGACCTTTGTCTTTGTGCAAGGGCTTCCCTTTTGGAGTCAAAGGATCGATGATTCTAAGGTGTGCAGATACCTTGCTGGTGCCATCGTGTCTCCTATAGACTTGTCATTTGACTGAAAACAGGGCCATGAGGGGGTGAGTTCGTTTCTAGACCTCAAGGGTGACTGAGGGCCATCGTCTCAGGTGTGCCGGCAGTCTATCTGACTAGTGAATTTTGCTGACAATTTCTGATCTGTCTCCCAGCGTAGGAATGAAGCCTAAGACAAGCCTGTGGAGCGTAGGCGTTTGGGTTGTACGTGGACATTAGGAGAGAAGTGAAGCTGGCACTGGGGCCTTGACTGAGACTCAAGCTCTGCTCTCAGGTCTGGGAAAGGGTGACAGGAGCCCGTGTAATTGACTGGGTCACCAGGCACCTGGTGTGATCACAGCAGCTCCGTCACGGTGCCAGAAGGGTTGGCACTTGGCAGGCAGGAAGGACACCAGAGAATCCAGGCAATGGATCTGGGAACCCCACCGGCAGGCCTTTCCCGCTGGGACATCCCTCTCTTGCCATGGAAACAAACGTTCATGCTGGCCTGGGTAACTGGAGCAGGGGGAGGGTTGAAGCAAGGGGGGAATGTGGGCAGGGCTCCCAGCACCAAGCTGGCACCAGAGGCACATCTCCAGCTCCAGGGGAAAGAAACCCAGACTATGCGGAGCTCAGTGTTTGAGACTTAAGACCTCTGTCTGGTTGAGGCTAAGACAGGGTGGGACAGAGCGGAGGTGAAGAGAAGAGGGTGTACAAAGAGTCATGTCATCCCGGGGGCTAAATAGGCAGCTGGAGACACAAACTCGGTTGTCATGATCCAAACACCAGCTCCTGGCTCCTAGCAAGGATTTCTAAACCGTATTGTCGGAGGAAAGTGGCATTTGGTGGCTCAGGGGTTAATGTGCCCAGCTGCTACCCACAAGGTAGGTGGTACAAACCCAGCAGCTGCTCCGTGGGCGAAAGGTGGGGCAGTCTCCCTCTGCAGTGATGGACGGCCTTGGAAGCTCTGTGGGGTGTTCGACTTTGTCCGGTGGGTTGCTGAGAGCCAAACTCAACCCCTGGACAGTGAGTTCGGATCAAGGGAAACTTGAGGTGCCGGTGGGAACCCCTGTCGGATCCAGGTTTGGGAAGTTTGTGGGGCTGGGGCAGCCTTGGGGGAGGTGGCCCTGAGGGTGTCCTGAACAGGTGATCTTTAAAACGGTGTTGCCTCTCCAGGGGAAGTAAAAAGGTGTTTCTTTTCATTTTCAGTCACCCTCCACTTCTTCAAGGAATATTCAACAAATGTTAGCCGACTCTATCCATCGAATGAAGACGTACGGATTTCACCAGGTAAGAGATTGACTGTGTGGCTCTGGGGGGATAACCACACCACATTCCTCTCATATTTCACAAAGGGCTAGATTAGTCTCACGCAGAAATGAAACCAGGCAACAGAATGAGAAATCCGCCTTAAAAGCTACAAACACTTTTACTCGCTTATCTAAAGTTGGGGCAGAATCATGCAAAGAACAGATGCCAGGAAATGTCTGCTAAGCTCCTCGTTGAAGATCCCAAAGAGAGATGAGGTCCTGGGCTGCTGAATCCACTGAGGGAAGAGTGCTTTCAGCATTACAATGGGAGGGCAGGGGGGATTATGGTTGCTTTATTTCTGTGAGCTTACCCCTGAGTACAAAGAGGACTTCTCTGCCATCCATGCTCACTGTACCAGTGACTCCTTTGGGGATTTAGATCTCTCCCACATCCATCCATGGTGGCATGGTGTTTAAGCGTTGGGCTGCTAACTGCAAGGTCAGTCGTTTGAACCTACCAGCCATTCCCCAGGAGAAAGATGCAGCTGGCTGCTTTTGTAGAGTTAGGTGTGGTAACCCCCAGGGGCAGTTCTACTCTGTCCCAAGGTGTTGCTAGGAGTTGCAATGGACTTGATGGTTGTGAGTTTGTTTTGTTTTGTTTTACATGCATCCTTCCAATGAGACCCTCCTTACAGGCCAAGCCCTGCTTCCTCCTTCATGAGAAGATGTTGTTTGAGCTTCCACTGCCCCAAATAAAAGAGACACAAGTAGGACTCAGGAACTGTAGTAGGATTTGACCTTTGCGTTGTCTGTGCTATGCACTCGGTGTTGTCAAGTCAGATCCAATTCACAGCAACCCTGTGTACATGAGAACAGAACCCTGCCAGGCCCTGGGCCTCCCTCAAAACGATCGTTCTTGAGCCCATTGTTGCAGCCACTGTGCCCATCCACCTTGTCAAGGCTCTTCTTTATTTACTGGCCCTCGACTTTACCAAGCATGACACCCTGTTTATGCCCAAGGTCGTGAGACAAAGTTTCCCCCTCCTTGCTTCTCAGGAGCATTCTGCTTGTATCATTTCTAAGAAAGATTTGTTTGTGGCAGTTCATGGTACTGTCCACAATCCGCACCAACACCATACTTCAAATGCATCGGTTTTTCTTGTTGTTCAGTGCTGTTGAGGGATTTCCGACTGGTAGCAATCCTACGGACAACAGGACACACTGCCCGTTCCTGTGTCATTATCACAACCGTCCTCCACCACCTGTCTGTCAGTCTGCCCTATGGGGTGGCTTGTGTGTTGCTGTGATGCTGGAAGCTGTGGCACTGGTATTTCAAATGCCAGCAGGGGCAGCCACAGTGAACAGGTTTCAACACAGCTTCCAGAACCAAGAACAGACCATGACGAAGGAATAAACTGTCCACTTCAGAGGAATTAGCCACTGAAGCAGAATGGAAACATTGTCAATTTTTCTTAATTCTTATTCAGTGTCTAACTTTCGCATACAGATAATGGATTAAAAATATCATGGATGGAGAGGTCTGGGGGGCTGGACACCTGCCCCTCCCCCCAGAAGAATTTATTACAAAGGACGACATTGAATTTGCAGCTCCAGGAGAGGGACATATCTGATCAGAGCACACGCATGCAGATGGAGGAGGAGGAGGAGAGAGTGGAGCACAT